TAAAAAATAAAAAGCACGCTCAAACTCCACAAGGCCTCTATGTGCTTCCTTTGTGACATCCAGAACAAGCCAACGTGGCCTCCGTATACGCATGCCTTTAACCTAGGGATCTGTTTATAGAGGAAAACACAGTTCACCTGTGTTACTCTGGAAAGAACTTAATGGTCAAGGAAAGCAGAGGCTAGAGAATGAGGTACAGACCTGCTTTCTTTCTTTAGCTGGCTAAGATGAGGCCCTTTCTCAGGACACAGGGTACATGATTACGTAGCTCATTTCGCCAAGTAAAGCCCAAGCACGACGACCCAAGCAGCATTCTGTGGAAGAGGTACTGCAGGGAGTGTGCGTGCTCACAGGCCTCTTCCCACAAGGAGGAGCTCGGGAACAGCCCAGGAGAGCCCCGGGATCCTGCCATCCACACAGAGGCTGCGGGCCACTGCTCTCCAGGCTAGGCAGGCAGACATGTAAAGAAAGGCTAAAACGTGGCTGTGCATTTGGGAATTAAATCTGACCATTAACTCTTTAATTCCACAGATTAATCAGTGATGCCACTTGGAGTCCTGAACTTTGAAGCACATAAACAGTTCATCTAAACAGACTTCCAGATACGTGAAAAAAGCTATCACACCAAATTAATTCAATCTAACTAATTGGAGAGCAGGAAGTTCTTTCAATTATTTTATCTGCTGTCTGAGAAACACACTTGAATATGAGTGCAGATTTCCTTAATTGCAGTTCATTATTTTCCAGAGTCGTTACTAAACTTCTATCAGAAGGTCAAAGACAGCAATTTTGTCAGCTGCCACCTCTTTTGGTGCAGTATCTTTGCATTTCTGGAACTCAGACAGAAATTGATTACAACCAGAACCAATCTCCATAAAAACAAGAAATCTAACTCTTTATGAATATGTTCAAACTTTCCAAAAGACTTTGTAAGTTATGAGTCTTTGTTTTTACAAGAAGAAACTGTCAACTTCCATCTGGCAAGAAAAGACCCAGCGATTTCTCCCAGTCCATCCCATACTGCATCTTGAATGTGAGGTCAGGGAGGTACCTTCCCCAAGAGCCTGCTGACTGCAAAGATTGGGCTGAGATGCTCTCTCACAGCTCCCTGAGTCCACAGGCCTACGCGGAACCGACTGCGCCAGTCTGAAAATGTCAAGGACACTCTGATTATAAGTGTCTTTTGATGAAAATCAGTTGGTCATTACACAACCTGCACTTCTCTCCCAATCTACCAGAGGAAGGGTGAGGAATGGCTGGTAGGAACAGAACTCATCTATCCTTGGTCCTCAGCTGGGTTATTTTATATTCTCACAAACGCCTTGTGTTTAAAAAGCAGAAGTGACAGGAATTCCACAGATGTCCTTAGAGAGCACCTTGCTGTCTATAAATCACAGTGCTCATCCCCAGTTGTCACCGTCTCTCAGTTAATTTCAATTCTATCTCTCTGTGACTGTCATCTCACTATTGCAAAAGCGCCCTTCAGGGACTCTCCTTCCTTTCCTGCGGCACCGATATCGCGGCCCTTGGATGCTGCTTGGCCTCCCCACAGTGCACTTCTGCTGCTGTCCTCCAAAATGATTCCAAGGGTTCACTGTGTTTCCAGAAGTGACACAGCCGAGCCCAGCACTGCACGGCCTGTGTGGTCCACCCACACCAAAGAGAGGAGATGTGCAGGACCGCAGGTGCTTCCTCATTACTAGGGCCATCTCAGAGATGGAGGTTTGGGTCTTCAAGCTAAACTGAGACACAAACATAGAAAGGAATTTGCTTCAGTTCTTTCCTCACAGGTGGGAAGTGGAGAGAAATGATGTTTCAATGGTGAAAGGAGAAGGCGGGAGTGAGGAAGCAGTAGAGGCCTGCTTACCGAGCAGGGGCTGTGCGGGTACTGGCGTGGTCATGGCGCACTCCCAAACCTGCTCAGAGGGCTCTGTTTTGGCTTTTGTTCTGCTTCACCGTATAACCTACAGTAATGTTGCTATCTCTTCCCTGTCTCTAAGTCCCAATGCAATATTAACAGACTTTACCCCCTCCTGGACTATAGCATGCATTCCTGGTAGGCAAATGCACCGACTGCTAGTTGATGTTCCAAACATCTAAGTGCCGGGCCAGGCTTATTTAATGACCATTCATACAGGCCATGGAGGCAGGTATACTCACAGTTACGGCAGCACATAAGAGAGCAAGGTCAAAGCAAGGAAGCTCAGGGGCCTCGCACGTCCTTTAGGCTGCTGCTCTAGAGGCACCTGAGATGCCTGCCCCAGAACCAGAGCGACGGAGGGGCCCACAGGGGCCAATGCACTTCATTTTGTTTCAGGCTTTCTGGACAGGAGGGCTCCAGAGATGGCCTCACTTTATTTACCTTCATAACTATCAAAGTCTTCCTGACCCCTTTGGTGGAAAGCAAGGAAATAGGCCTGGCAATCGGATTGCTGGTTTGTGGAGCTTAACTGTGCTGACCCCTGTCACTCTGTGGTTTGAAGAGTGGCTTTCATGCAGATGATAGGGCTCTGCCTTGGGCCCATAATGTTCAACACTGTATTTGTGATTCAAATACAGGCTTCAACTTTAAAAACTATGCACTCAACAATGTGTAATACTAAAACTATGATTGAAATACCTGTCATTTTGGTCTTCTAAATGTGTACTGTTTCTAATGTCATATCAATTACTATACTCTCTTTAAATTTTTTAAAAGGTAATAAAATGAGAGAACAAAAATTTAAGATTTCTTCAAAGTAAGTGGTAATATTCAATCATATCTCCTATCTTGTGTAACTATACCTGTTAATCTGAGCAACAGATTTCATGATAAAAATAGGTAATATATCAATCACTGTTAATCAGATATTCTTGTTTTGAAAATCTGTAACATATGTATTTTTACATGTTACCCTATTTCCGTCTTTGCTTTTGTTTCTTCTCCAAAATAAAATTATTTTTAAAAATGCACTCAATGGCTAACATATATGTTTCTTTTTAAAACCTACTCAAAAAGATCTTGACAGCCCAGGAATGTTAAACAAAATAAAAATAAGAACTTTTAGAAATAAATCTTGGGACTGGGGAGATGGCTCAGTAGAATAAGCGCTTCCCTGGCAAGTGCAAGGGCCTGAGTTCAATCCCCAGTTCCGAAAAAAAAAAAAAAAAAAAAAGAAAGAAAGAAAGAAAGAAAGAAAGAAAGAAAGAAAGAAAGAAAGAAATTTTATGTTCTCTCTTTAATTATGCGATATAATCAAAATGTTCAGTGACTGTCTAAATTTTTTAAAAATGTGCTTCAGTAAAAGACACATTATGTTTGGTCCTCCTCAAAATCTTCCCCGTAATTTCAAATACACTCCTCCCACTGTTCTAGCAACTCTCTGAAGTCATTCTGGAAGTCTCTTTTGCATCCTTAACTCTACTGTTACAGCTGTCTCCACATCCTTGATTCAAAACCTTTACTTTTCATGGTCATTTTGGTTTGGGGGAACAGCCACAATTCACTTGGGTGCCAGATCCCTTGGATAAGGAAGGTAAGGACATACTGATGGTTTTGTTTGGAAATTTTTCTTGATGTTTTGCGTTAGACTGGGTCTTGCTATATATTTCGGCCTGGTCTTGAGCTCTCTATGTAGCCCAGGCTGGCTTCAAACTTGTGGCAACTGTCTTGCCTCAGCCTCCCACCAAGTGTTGAGACAGCAGGCATGTGCCTTCATGCCTGGCCACACCATGTTTTTTTTTGTTTGTTTGTTTGTTTAATTTATTTATTTATTAAGGTGTGTGTGTGTGGCCAGCTCAGCCCACCAGGGGGCGGGGCTGGCTGGCATGTGGTGCTGGGGGATTGAACCGCGGTCTCTGTGCTTTGCTAAGCTTGTTCTAAGTAGGTGCTTTAGACCACTGAGCCATCTCACCAGCCCCCACACCATGGTTTTTTACATGCCTGCTTTTCCAGGGCCAACAGCATTCACCATATTTTTAATCACGTCATAGAGATACTCATAAAAGAAAACCTCCAAAACCACTTCCAAAAGCGGCAAGAACAACAGGATAAGGGTATTTAGGGCAAGGGGGAGGATTCTGGAAGGGATTAATGGCAGTGGGTCTTACTGTAATAATTTTTTAATTTAAGCATTCACCATATAATTATCACCCTGTTTATTTTTATATGTCAATTAGAAAACAATAATAAAAGAACATTGATGAGAGTAAAAGTAGACCCAAGATCCAGCATTGCTAGGCAGAAGCATAAGGAACCAAGAGGAAAGTGAGGCAGCACAGAGCAGGGCTGCGGGAACAAGAAGCGCCATGGGGCCAAGAGCCAGCCCTCCCACATGTCGACCGACATCTGCATCCCAGAGGACTTGGAGGCCATGGCTGGAGCAAGACTTTTCCTTGGAGGACCCAGAGGAAAGGAGAGAAGACTTTTGTTTTTAAATCAGAAATTCAAACTGTAGCTTTTGAATCTGACTTTCCAGTGAATGGGACCATGCTACAGTGAAGATCACTACACCGTGAGGAGGAACGCTGCCCCAGCTGCGCTTCCCGGTGCTGAGGCCTAAAGCAGGCCCTCCCCACTGAGCTACACATTCCCCGGCCTGTCCTACTACTCTCCTGAGACAGAGTCTCATGAAGTCACTAAACTGCACAGGCTGGGCTTGAGCTTGTGGTCCGCCTGCCTCGGCCTCCCAGAGTGCTGGATTACAGGTGAGCACCACCACACCTGGCCGCAATACAGCCTTTTTTCTTCTTACTGCTACCTCCCATCCCAACAGTATTGAAGGGCTCTGCTCCCAAGGAAAAAACACCTCTCAGGGTTTAAAAACTTAAAGCATATTATGGAACCCAAGTGCAAGAAACATTTCTATTGATGCTGCCCATTAAAATTATAATTTATCTCTCACAGAACTTTAGCAGAGAAAGTAACAAAGAGATAAGCACAGACACTTCTGATCAGTCAACTCCCAAATGAAAAGCTGAAGATCTTTTCATATTTGGGAATGTTCTTTTTTAATTTTTTTTAAAATATGGAATGCTTCAAGAATTTGTGTCGTTCTTCTGTAGGGGCCATGCTAATCTTTTCTGTATGGTTCCAATTTTAGTATATGTGCTGCCGAAGCGAGCACTTGGGAATGTTCTTTAGTGGAACTTCCAACAGCTTAGGAAGCAAGTTCATAGGCAGGTCCAGATCCTGCTCCACTGTGACTGTCTTGTCTCTACCCTAAAACATCATGCTTTCCACTGTTGCCTGACACTGATGCGTGCTCTAACTGTGCTATCTGGGTACCTGGACGGCAAGCCAGCTGACAGCCATCCTGGCAGTCCCACACACCAGGCAGGGTTCAGGCACAGGGAGCTCTGTCCCCAGTGGTTACGGTCTACAGGGAAGATAATCAACCAACTTATAAGCTCAATAATAATGCCCAGTAAGATTAACCACAGATCCCAAGCAAGCCCGAATTGGGCAACTTAGGGAGACCCTATCTGAAAATAAAAAAGGGCTGAGGGTACAGCTCAGTGGGAAAGCTCTGGGTTCTATACCCAGTACCTGGCCCCCCTCCAAAAAACCAAGATTAATTATGGAAATGTCCAGTGTGTGTATGCACATGCATGTGTAGTGGAGTCTGTTTTAGTCTGGCTAAGGAAGATAGGCCACTAAAATTCAGTTGCTGTTCTTAAGACTGACTTTTGTGACCCCTCTAGAAGTAGATCCCCTATAAGAGACCAAGAGGGCATGTGAGGACTTCGGAGTGAGCATGCTCAGTAGAAGGAAACACAAAGGCCAAAACCCTGTAGACTTAAGTGTGCCTTGTATGTCTGCGACATAAAAAGGTGGTAAAAACAGGACACAATACACAGAGAAAGAAATGGCGTGAAGGTGAAAGGTCAGGGCACCCGATTCCAGCAGAAATCTGAAGGCCTGATAAAACATTTGGCCTTGATTCCATGAGGGAAGGTGCAGAGCCATGGAGTCATGGGAGCACTGTTAGATCTCTCCATCCACAGAGCTAAAGGGTCACCCGTGCAAAGAGACCAGGGGAGACACAGACTGCCTGGGATGCAGCACACACACCTGGACACCTGAGACTTGATGGGTGCAGTGGTCCCGGGAGAGGCCCTGGGAAGTTCTGTGCTGACACAGGCAAGGCAGTGAGGACAGGGCCCATGAGCTTGAGAAAAGGGAAGCAGGTGTTTTCACAAGCACACTGGACTAGCGGGCACTTTCACAAAGGCAGTGTTAGCCTTACATTTTTATACATTATGAAACATGAAATATTCTGTAAAGCTAGTTTCCCCAAAACCTTTGCTCATAATGCTCAAAAATACACTGGAGTAAATGAGGAAAAAGTGCCAGAGGACTCTTAAATACTTCAAGTAACTCCAGTGACCCGGGATGTGATGAGTCACAGATCTCTTCCATCACCAGGTTTGCTTTGAACACACTGTATTCCTGTCGCACTTAGAGAGTCCATCACTTATTGCCGGAACAATGGGAGTGTAAATAAGTCCTTCTGTGTGGCAGGTGCTTTGACTTGCCACATCAAAAACTGAAAATAGCTTTTTAAAAAATTGTAGCTATGGTAGGCTGACTCAATGAATTTAATGTGATACCAATTTCCTTTGACTTAGATAACTGTCTTCACTGAACAGCAATCGAAAAAGTTGTTATTAAACATAAATGTGAGTAAGAAACAACATAGGTGCTTATAAATGCAGCCTAGAACGCATCCCCAGGTGGGCCACAGGTCACAGGCTGAGAAACTACTTTTTTCAAAATCTACTTTGGTAACTCACTTTGCAAACTGTACTTTGTGAAACAATGACTGAGACATTAAAAACTGATTGGTGCGTACAATCACAAACCACTGGAAAAAGTTTCGCCTACCCTGGCCTCCCCACAGTCCCACTGTGTCTTATTAACTGTCAAGCACCCACTATGTACCTACAACCCGAACATTTCCAAAATCTCAGTTTAATTCACCTACTGCATATGTACGCTTGTGTGCATATACTTACAATGTCTATGCTTATATAAGGCAGACTGAAAAATTATATATCTTCACAGCAGTCTTTGCAGAACCAGTTCTACCTCCCTTAAACACACATTCATAAACTCATAAAGTTCCTATAAACAGTTCAGTCTCAGACAACTACTGATCTGCCTTTCCACAACTCGCTTAAAAGAATATGGAAAAAAATATGGAGAAGCCAATGTCAAAAGACTTATTTCACCAACTGCACTTGCAATGCATGTGTTTTTGAATGAATATAAATAAATCCTCATTTATCATTTTCTGCTGAGTTAACACCTATATACGGCTGGAAATTGCATTTCCAACAGGGTTTCCATTCACCACTGCAGAAGAGCAGCTTCCTGATTGCTTAGAAAACCCTTTAACATTTTCTCTAACACTTATTCTGGGGCTGGGGAGAGAGTTTGAAGAAAAAAGGAAATAAGACAAGTGATCACTTTCCAATGAAAGAACAGATTATCCACAGCAGAGGAAACAGAGGTTGAGAGGGAAGGACAGGCACAATACAGAATTGTTTGAAATGAGAAATGAAATCAAGAATTAAAAATAGAATTACATTTTCTACTTGGCAATACACAAACAACACTAAGTGCACTTCATAAATTTTACTATTGTTGCTCTAAGTGGTATTACCATAAATCACATTAGTAGCATACTTGGCATTTTTTAAAAGCAGAAAGGATGGAGCACATCAATAAGTTTAAACAGCTCTGTTATCTCTGAAGAGTGAAAGAGAAATTATCACAAGCTCTCGCCAGGTTTAAAAGCCCAGGTCTAATGTCCTCCTTGTTGCTACCCTTCCACCCCCAGCCTTGGGACAACACGGGGGGCAATTCTGCCAGCAATCTATTAGCAAACATTTGCTGCTGCCTTCTCAATGCCTTTTACCTGATGAGCAAGGGGCAGTGGCTGTTTGCCCCGTCTGTCATCACGGGCAGGAAAGAGAGACTTTAGCAGCTTCGGCATCTGCGGCACCAGGGACTTTACTGGACTCAAGTAGGAGGCTGCGAGGCTACTGAGTCCTGTGTGGAAATTGAAGGGGAAAAAAAGATAAAATCAATTACAAACACATCCTCTTTCCTATAAATTTGCCATTTATCATTTGAAAGCAAAGCTAACAATATAAATTTTAAAAAGCTACCCTTAAAAAATTAACTTAGAAAAGTATACAGTAATCATAAGTATCCTCCAATGAAATGGTATTTCTTCAACCAGTTAAATAACCTTTTACAAAGTGGTAGCATCACTGTTTCCATCACTGTTAGAAGGGTACTTCACCCTAGTTCTTGCCAGCAACTGGTACAAGAACTTCTGCTCTCTAGAATGAAAAAGGATTGCACTTTTAAATCACATAATCAATGATATTCAGTAGATGTGGTTTCTGTAGACATTAAACTCTTGAAGTCATGATCCTCCTCAACTGTAACTTTTTGTAACTATTCCTATAAGAAACAATAAAGCTGATCTTTTGGGGAATGGTAGTCTTCAGCTAATTTTAACTTTTTGGTTTTTTATGCAGGGTCTTGCTACATAGTGTAGTCAAGTCTTGAACTTTCTTTGAAGTCCAGGCTGGCCTTGAACTCATGCGATCCTCCTGCCTCAGGCTCCTGAATGCTGGGCCTACAGGCATGTACTACCATGCCTGCTGTGTTTAGCTCTTTTTTAAAAGAGTACAGTAACTGTGTCCTTCCCTGCTGTCATTCACCAAAGACTGGGATCAGAAGTGCTGCTGATACCTGTAGTGCAGTAAGATTTCTTTCCCCTTACCAAATTACAGGAAAATCTAACCCAAATCATAACTGATGAAACACCATATCCATGTAACACTTTGAAAGAACACTGAAGTCACCCTGAAGAACATGCAGGTCCCCCTAAGCGAGGGCACAAACGACCAGCCCTCTACTATCCAGACTCCAGACTTACAGGTCGCACACAGAAGAGACCAGAAAATTGCAAGGTTTCTGTACTACACACAGGGCAGCAGGACCTGTGAAATCTTCAGAACGTACACTGTCGCATGAGGGCGACCACCAAGAAGTGAAGTGAGATGGCTCCACTCTGCCAAGACAGACATTACAACTGAGCTCAGAAAAGTGAACTGTTTTACAAGAAGGCAAATGCAGAGAAGAGACACCAAAAAGAGACATGAACAGAAAATAAACTTTAAGACGAATAGAGTCAGAGATGTCATCAAATCAATGCTGAGAAAAACACAATCCAGAGCACTGTCTCAAGTTACCAACACTAGAGCGAGGACGACCCACATGTGAACAAGGATCTAGCCCAGTGGTGGTGAACCCATGTGCTGTGTGCAGCAGTGGGCTGTGTGTTATCACTGAAACCCTAAACAGTTCACGAGCACTAAGCTAACTGCTATCCAATCAAAGGCTGCATGCATCATAACACACAGGCAGGTGGGACAGGAGCTGGGTACACAGGTCAGTCAGGCTGGCCAGAAGGGGCTCGCTTTGTTTTGCTATGTATTTAGTACAGGATCTCACTACACAGATCGGACTTCATAGTGATCCTCCTGTTTTCAGCCTCCCAAGTGAGGGGATTACAGGTGCACACTACCATGTCCAGTCTCAATCTCTGTCTCAGCATGCCCAGGGGCGGGGCTGGCACTGCACACTGAGGATAGAACCTGGTACCTAAGTACCAGGTACCTAAAGTACCTAAGCAGGTACTTTAATCAACTGAGCTATCTGGCTCGCCCAGGAGGGGTTCACTTTGAAATCCAGAGGGTACTTGGGGAGGCATCATGATTTTTTTTATCATTGTATGTTTGATAACTTCCATAATAAAAGGGTTTTGAAAGTGAGAGAGCAAAACTGAAACTTTTAACATCTAAACAAAATTAAGGTTTGCCACTAACATACAATTGCTAAAATAATGGATGGTTGCTATGAGTCACTATAAAAGAAACTAACCTTAAAGAACAGAGTGGGTGGAATGCAAGAACAGTGATGACTGGGGCCGGGGAGACGGCTCAGTAGGCTAAGCGCTTCCCTGGCAAGCCCAAGGGCCTGAATTCAATCTCCGGTTCCGCCAAAAAAAAAAAAGAACAGTGACGACCAACACAGAATGATAAATATGTGAATCAAGTCAGCGCTGATAGAGTCTAACTATAACATCACCACCACATTTAGGGAATTTAAAACCAGGTGGTGTGCTATAACTCAGGAATTTCACTTCTGACTACTCCACAAATAGATTTAACCAGACCAGAAAAACCCAAATGTCCATGGGCAGTAGAACCAATTAAAAACTAGGATAAATTCAATTGTGACAATGAGATATTTCTCAGCAATAACAAAGAATGAATTACCGATGGCACCAACAATATGCGAGATGAAACATCCATGCAGAACAAGAGCCCCGCTCACAAAGAGCACAGGCTCTGTGGCAGCATTCTGTGTGCAGGCACAGGTGGGACTTGCAGCAACCGAGAGCAGCACACTGGCTGACGATGGGGGCCAGCGGGATCTACAGCTTAAGTAGGACAGGTCTTGCGTGTGTACACACACATGTGTGTGTACCTACCCACATATATATACCAATGTATACAAATAAATACACTGGACAAAGCTTACTTGACCCATGGTCATGAAAAGAGAGTCGATAAGAATAGACCTTTGTGTGATTCAGCAAACATCTTAAGGCAGCTTTTTAAAATTAGTCCAAGAAGGAAAACAATGTGTTCTGAACAACAGTCCAGATAAGGAATACCAGCAGAGAAATTAAAACTATTAAAAAAAAAACCCAACAAATAATTCTAGAACTGAAAAGAACAACTGAAAATTTTAAAATTCTCTGGATGCATTCAACAGAACACTGGAAATGGCAGAAGAAATGATCCAAAGGGAATGAGATAAAAAGGTTAAAAATTCAAAGTTAGCACAGAGCCTCTGCAACCCATGCAGCAACACCAGGCAGTCTGACGTGCACATTATTAGTTACAGAAAGAGAGGACAGAGATAAAGACAGAGGAAACATTTTAATAAAAAATGGCTAAATTTCTCAAATTTGTTTAAAACAACTTCCAGATCCAAGACCATCAGTGAAACTCAAACAAGATGAATAGTAAGAAAACTATTAACAGTCAACTGATAAAAACAAAGATAAAGAAAAATTTTGAAAGCAACCCAAGAAACATTACATGAGGGAAGTGGCACAGTACAGGGCAAGGTGGAGGCAGACAAGGATGAGTGATGAAGTCACTCTAATGAGCTGGAACGAAAAGCCAGCTACCCAGCATCCTCTGTGTACCCCAAACAGCCTTTTAAAAAAGAAAAACTAATGAACAAAACCAGCAACATAAAGACATTCCCAAGAGAGGAGAGCACTCCTCTCCAGGAGAATTGCACTGTAAGAAATTCTTCAGCACATTCTTCAGGGTACAAAGAGTGAAATCAGATGAAAACAAGATCTTTAGGAAGGAGGGGATAGTGCCTGAAATAATAAATGCGAAGAAAACTATAAAAGGTGATCCACTTAATTTCCTTCAAAGACAAGCAGCTGTCTTAATTCTCCTGATTTCCTTAAAAGACAAATAGCTGTTTTAGAGCAAAAAGAATGATTTTGTGAAGTTTATTTTATTTTTTGCTTGATGAATAGGTTTATTGGTCTTTATCTGAAAAAATCTTCATAGAAATTTGGTTTAACTCTCAGCAGCCCACTTCTGAGCTCTGAGGAAGCTTGCCTTCTTTTGAGCTACCAGATCTTTCTTCTGGACAAGGGACATTTGAGGATGGTTCCACCTCTTCTTTTTAACTTCTCTCTTCAGCTTTTCATAGACTGGATTCTCTTGTATAGCAGCATGAGCTTTCTTATATATCTCCTCCATATCTGGAGTTACACTGTTTTTTATGTACTGAGACAACTGGTTTTTTGTGAGCATCTTCCTCTCTTCAATTAGGTAATGCATATAATCTGCAGCATTCTCACCCATGATGTGCTTCCATTGTACTTCTGCATTGCACTCCTTGCTTTCAGAATCATAACCAGGGAATTATTTGGCACTGTGAGGGACAGACAAGCCTCCATCCACAGCACCCTTTAGGGCTCCAAAAACTGTATTGCCAGTTGTAGTTCTAGCAAGGGCCTGTATCCAAACAGCAGGTGGAAGCACCAGGTCTGCCATCAGTGCTTTCCACATTGTATTCGTATCCAGTCACCTTCACCTGGCCTTCATAGATCTTTTCCATGCCAAACCTACTGAGGAGCCTGAGGGCCAGGAGCAGGCTAGTACAATACGCTACAGCATAATTTGTTGGCCAGCTTCACACTGTACTTTGGTAGTTCATGTGTATATGCTGCACGGACTATCATATCCCCTTCAATACGGGCATAAGCAATCTGATAAATGATATCTTCGTTAGTTACACGAACTAGCATCCTGTATTTAGGTGTGCTGTACTTATTTTTGTCCTGTATTACCAAGCATTTCCTAGCATAGTAATCAGTTTTGCTGTCTCGTCTTCTAACCTTCACTTGGTAGCTCTTAAAGTAGGCCTTACTCTTGACAACCCCAACAAGACCTGTCCTGTGTAATATAGACCTGCATCCGCGGCTCTACACAGACCTGCAGGCCCGGCAGCACCACAGGGGAAAAGCATGAAGTATATGTTATAGCACCCAGAAATTGAAATATTGAAGAAACTGTTCCCTTCCCATAATAAAATTAAATAAAAATGAAAAAATCCCCCCAATACAAAAATTGAATTAGCACACTACTGCATAACACATATGTCAAAGAAATTAGATGGAAATGTAAACATATTCTAAATTGAAAGATAATGAAAGCAAAACATGGCAAAATACATGATAAGCATAAATTATTAAAAAATCAGTGAAATAGAAAATTAATGTCAAAAGTTGGTTCAATGAGAAGATTAATATATGCAATAAATCTGTCATAGATATACTGAAGAAAAACTGAAAACCTCCAATAATTATCACTATCAGAATGTAAAGAAGTGGGTTCCATCCCTGGTGTGCTATATCAGCTCCGCTCCCAGGGCACGCTGAGATGGGCGCACATGCCTGTAATCCCACCGCTTGGCTGAAAATAGGAGGATCACCAGGAGCCTGGAAATAGTGAGACTATTTTCCAGGTAGTGAGACCTTGTAGACCCTGTACTAAATATATTTTAAGGGCCAGGGGGAGAGCTCAGTAGAATAAGAGTCTGCCAAGCAAGTGCAATGAGTTCAATCCTATTATATACAGAAGAAATAGCACAAGAGATCCTGCAAATCTAAAAGAATAATAAGGTGACTCTATGACATTAATGAAAAATTTTTTGTGGCAGTGGAGACTGAATACAGGGTCTTTGTACTGAGCTATATCCCAACCCTTTTAAATTCTTTATTTTGAGACAGGGTTTCCCAAAGTTACTAAATTGTTAAAGTTGGGCTTGAACTTGTGACTGTCATGCCTCAGATTTCCAGAATGCTGGTACAAGTGTGTACCATCAGTCCTAGATAAAGAGAAATTTATTACTCTACACGAAACAGAAAATTAATTGGAAAACATAACTTATGAAAACTGACTCATAAGGAATATACAATTTAAAGTAACCCTGTATTAAAGAAAAGTAAGTCGTAACTTAAAATCTTCCCACAGAGAAACTTCCAGACCCAAATAGTACCACTAGGAAATTCTGTCAGACATTCAATGAAGGCGTGGCACCAAACACACATAAACAAATCCGTGGAGAAATATTTCCTTAGTCATTTTGAGGTCAACACAATCATGATACCTCAAAACCCACCAAAAACACAAATATGAGAAAAATATCAAATTACAGGCTGATATTCATCATGGAACATGCACATTAAAATCCTTAACAAAATATTAGAGAATACAGTCAAGCAATATAAAGGATAAAACACCCAGATCAAGAGCACAGTTTTTATCTGAGGAATCCAGGATAAATCCAACATTCCAAACCTGCAGTAATTCAACACAGTCAATCAAGAAAGGGAAGAACATTAGCAGAACAGTGGCTACCTAGCAGGAAACTTTGACGTAAACTCTTCTCCAAGATGCTCATGATAGTAACTGACATGAAAAGATAACTTACCTGGATCTGGAGAGTGGTTATTTTGGGGACAAACAGAGAGGTCTGGGGGGACTGGAGTTACTCCTCCAGAAATGGGTGTTTGGGATACATCCTGTTGACTTTCCCATCGACCCTATAATAGGACAGAATCAGTTATTTTGTTTCACATTAATCCACAGGGGCCGGGAAGATAGCTCAGTAGAATAAGCGCTTGCCTGGCAAGTACAGGGTCCTGAGTTCAATCCCCAGTACCAAAAAAAAAAAAAAAAAAAAAAAAAGAATTTCAAATTAATCAACAGAAAAAATTAAAGATATTCAGGTGAAAAGGTATTCTACATAACCAAAGCTAACTGGAAAGGTAGCTTTCCAGGACCTATGTGTTATTATGGAAGCCCACCTTCCTACATGTTGTGCTCACAGTATGAATTCTCCTCATGATGACAATACCACCTCACATGTGGGTGTCCCTCCACCTCACAAATGACAGTCTTCCAGTGAATCTGCCCTAATACTCTTTCTACTACATCCTCAATACATTCTCTGCCTTGAGATACCCTTCTCCACTTTGCTTCCAGAGGAACCAGTGACATGCTTCTATCAGCAGGGTCTCCTGTGCCCCTCCCAGCATCACACTGCCCAGGGTATGCCCAAGTGCAAACTCTCAAGCAGCACAGCCTCAGGTCTTAATAAACCTAAAGTTCCCTCCATCTTGATCCTCTAACTTCTTTGTCATTGGCATTTAATGAGAATAGTTTTCCCTGGCGTTCTGCAGATGCACAGCCCTACCACTGAGGAGCCACCTGAAAAGTGGAGTGGAAACAGCAGGCTCCAGCTGCTCCCCAAGACAGAGTGTGGGAAGAGGGAGCCCACATGGCTTCTGCTGTGTATTGGGAAGCTATCTGCTTTTAGCAGCAACCTAAGTACAGATCACAAAATCAATAGGGTCTAAGTGATCTGGATTGCGTTTACCTCTAAGAACGCCACTGTACCCAAGAACTATACAGGCTCAGCACTTAACAGCATTTTAAAACTCACATGCGTTCAGTGCTCATTAGGAAGCAGGGAGACAAAGCAGACACAAACACATGAACAGGGAAACGCGAACTCCAAAATGCTGCACTGTAGGAGGAGTTCCACTATTAGGGATCATGGGCCAATTTACATACTTTAATGCTTTGCATTTAAATTTAACTATCTGTCTGGAAGGCTGCTGCTCTACAAACCCTGAGATGTGGCAATCAGGTACCTGAACACTAAGGTCACCAATCTCTGGGGCTTCTAAAGAGGCCCTGGTTAGTGTCAAGTTCATACAAGGTTGTTCTGAAAACAACTTATTTGAGAATGACTGTGTTTTCATATTTTAGATTTTTCCTGATTTGGCAGCTAATATTATTACACTCTGTCCCTTAGGAAAACCAAATAGCTGACTTGGAGTCAGTACCTGGGTCCAGTGACAAAGCCACACTCGGGTGCCCAACCGGCACTCTCTGACCTGACTGCAAAGGTGGAACCAAGCCATCAGGCTGCCTGCCTCGCTCCCACGTCTTCTTGTGGCAGGTAGGCCTGCTCAGTCAGCTCAGGAGAACTAAACCACCTGGCATTTTCACCCATGTGCCCTCCAGCCAACCAGCCAGAGTTACCCCATGGCTTCCTATGCCTGGTTCCACTGCCCACAGATGGGGTCTCAAGACTCCGGGCAGGAAAGCACTCTGCTTCCAAGGGGACAACAAATCCCATGATAAAAGCGGCACACACCCTACCTCCTCCAGCAGATGCCCAGAGCCCAGAGCCACTGTGCTGCACTCCTTTACTGCTCGCCATTCTTCATCCTGCACTACACATCCATTCTCTGGCCAGAGACAAACCCTATGCCCAGGGTGAGCTGCACATGCTTTCTCCAGGGACAAGGCGAATACTGTCTGTCTAGTAAATCTGAGATGCTTGGCTACTCTGGTTTTTCTCTCTTTACTGAGATGTTAAGAGAACAAAAAATATGAAGCAACACCCAGTTAAAATTCTTTTATGAATTTGGGACTGGAATAAGAGACTCTAAGCAACTTTGGAACTTCTGGGTCTCCTAGATAGCTCAGGTCTCAAAAAGTAAAAGAATATACTTTTGTCCTCATTTCTTTCATTTCTACCACAATGATATGCACCTTTCATGACCCAGAATCTCAGAACATCAATCTCTGCTATTTCTAATGTCCTGCACGTTGCACATCGCCAGGATCAGCCAACGAGAAAGGAAGATATTAGCTTTGTTTAGAGCCCCAGACAAGCCCTGAAATGATTAGGGAATGCAAAGAACATGGTCCTCTTGGAGACGGCAATTACTTGGAGTGGACACCATGCTCAAAGGACAGGGACAAGCAGAGCCCAGGAGGCCTCGCTGATGATGCCGCTGGGTCCTGGCCCTCCTGTCCCCACTCTACGAGCCACACATTCCTTGGCTTTTCCATAAAAGGGTCCTCTTTGATCAGGAAGGTGACAAAAGGGTACGTAAAGAGAAGTGACAGTGACATTTCAGGTCCAAAGGTAGCTCCAAATACCACTAAGGAAGAAGTGACTCATGTTTGGCATGGCCCGCACCACTGCCATGCTGAGTAATGACAGTTTCGGGAAGGTGATATGACCCAAACACAGTTTAGTTTCATTAAGGTAAGATCACTCAAGTTATGGACTAATTTTAATTCCATCAAAAACCCCAATCAGATTACAAGTGCACTCTGTGCCTTACTTATTTACTAAAAATATAATTTCCTATAAAATGGCTTCAGAAACAACAACATTTTTGTTGACAGCTTTCCTTACACTGCAAAAGACCTCAATGCACAGCCAACTTTGAAATGGAAAGACAAAAAACAGGCTGAAATTAATTTTGCTCCTTCCTACAAATCTGCTGGTAGATGGTCATAATAGGCTGCTAAGGATTCATTATAACTATTTTAAAAATCTCCCTACAAGGGGAACTACCTGCTCTGGCCCCCACTCCTGTCCCTCTCTTGGACAGGAGCTTTCTTTCTCTCATTAAATATATTCTGCTCATAAAAATAAATAAAAAAATCTCCCTACAATAATAATGAAACACCTACTAGGAGTAAATAGCAATATCCTTTCAATTAGGGTAAATATTTTATATCTTTAATTAAAAGTCTTATCCCAAGAGTGAGTTCTTTTAGGCTCCAAGGTAAATTTAAAATTTGGAATAAGCAAATCCTCTATCTTTTATTCTTTTTTATTTTATTTATTTTTTTTTTTTGGCGGAACGGGATTGAACTCAGACCCTTGCGCTTGCCAGGGAAGCGCTTAGTCCACTGAGCCATCTCCCCGGCCTCTCTATTTTTTAAAGATCAATTAGTTCATCAGCTCAATCTTGGTGGAGCCCAATAAAGCACTTCAAGTCTGCTATGTGAGGAGAATCAATAAAGAAGGGTATGCTACACAGGCTGGCCTGAGTCAAGGTGTTCTCCAGTCACACTGAATCCGTTTCTAGACCCTGGCCACCTTACCTCACCACCCCAAGAGCCCAAATCCTGACAGCCCCTTCTTTCCTGCCTCCCTGCCACCCTTTTGCCCTGACAGCGATTGACCACAAAAGGTGAGGCACACTGGAGCCTGTCGGGGGCTCTCCCCCTGCTTCTGAAGGTCTCTTCAGTACCTGCACGCTCCCCCATTGGCATGTGGTATACAAGGGACCACACTCCAGGTTTTAACCTGTCCTTCTGATCTAGGACCCACATCAGAGGGAGAGATTTGTGCAATAACAGAAACAAGCAAGGAACCCAGAGATAGCTCCACATAAGTCTTCAAGGTGCATGCAACTCCTATTTATACAATTTTTAATTATTTTAATATGTATCTTCTAGCATTTTCAGCACTGCCAGGCCCAGGCTTAAATTATATTTGGTTTAACTCTCCTGGAAATTAAATACTTTGTGCTAAAAAAAACCAAGATGGTCCTCTGCACAACCTTGGGGTCGAAGAATATTTGGAGCACTGCTGCCAGCTTTCTGTTCCCATGCCTACATGTCCCCCAGACACTTACCTGCGCTATGCACTGAACATAAATTAACTCAAACTCCTCACATTCCAGAACCTCGTAGACTTCCACAGTCTTGGATCCAGGTGCCAAGCAATACTTAGTAAGAATCGGATCCTGACCAGCAAAGTTACTGCTCCAAAGGCACAGGGCTGGTTCAGGGTCCAATCTAGGCATCGTATAGCCCCTACATAATGCTTGTGCTGTGAGGGTAAAAGCACATAGGGTTTACACAGCCGGACAGTGTTTGCATCCTCTCCACCTAATGGATTAACATTCACACAGGGCTGTATTTTGTTCATCTCACTGCCAGGTGGCTCTGAACCACTGATGGGACATGTATGACTGACTGTTCCATCAGTAAGCAAAGGGCAGTCGTGCATGTACCACCAGTGGTTCAAGCCAGCGAGAATAGGTTAATTACCTCTCCTTTGATCTCTGAACTTCTTGGAGGAATCCAAGAAGTCTCCAAAAGAAAAAGAAAACCAAACATGAGTCTCTGACATTTCCAAAACAATAATTTCTCCAGCAACTGCTCCCTCAATAACCACAAATTAAGGACCACCTAATGCTACTAAATGTAAATTTCTAGCAACTCCAAAGGTTAGAGAGAAATATTTTAAAATATTAAACAGATAAACTGGTTACATGGTCCAAAATCCAACCAGGAGAAAAGGGCACCCTAGCAGTTCCTCCCACCTCACCCTCGCTTCCTGCCCTCTCCGCCCCCTCCCTGCACAGGTACTGGGCAGCATTCACTTCCTGTGTGACCCGTTTCGTGTGTGCTGTTGGACAGATTTGTACAGAGCCACACATCCCACTTGTCCCACTGCAGTCTACCACTCTGCACTTCCTGTCTCATCACTGCAGATGCCTGGCAGTGTTCTCAGGTTAGTTCCTAGAGGGAGTCCCTTGTCACAGCTGCGTACTAACCCATTTGCTTGTGTGTAAAATACATTAAGCAGACTGCACTGACAGGCATTTAGTTTGGTGATATCGGGGACCCTGCACTTGCCAGGCAGGCACTCATGCTGCTAATCAGAGCCCCAGCCCTCAGGCACTTCAGTCTGTTTCTAGTCTTTTGCCGTTATGAGAATGGCACCATGTACACGTGCCACTTCCCATGTATGCAGGCACTGCTGTGTCCAGGGGTTAATAGTACTCTTATCTTTTTTTTTTTTAACTATCTTTTATATGTCCATTAGTTTAAACTCTACCCACTCTAAAAGGACACTCTTAGTGCTCTTAGCATTCATAACACATTCTCATTTCAATGCAATGACATATGTCCTTTAAAAGGCCACAAGGAGAGTCTCTGTTCCTTGCTATTAGGGAGAAAGATGTTTCTCTCCTTACTAGGTAGGAAACATAAACTTGAAAGTACTTGTCTTCCCTGGTAGTGCCTGTAATCCCAGTGCTCTAGGAAGCTGAAGTATGATGATCCAAATTCAAAGCTAGCCTGGGCAATTTGGTGAGATCCTGTCTCAAAAAATAAATAAACAAAGCACTAGAGATGTAGCTCCGAGTGAAGGCCTTGGATTCAATCCCCAGTATGACAAAAAAGAAAAACAGGGAAAGAGGGAGGGCGAAGGAAGGGGGAGGGGAAAGGAGGGGTGGAGAAAATAACCTAATAACCTTTCAGTAAGCCTACTGGGGCCTGTCAACTGAAAATGGGGGCGATACGGCTATTCTCCCCCTTGAGTGAGTTGCACTCAACCACCCTCCCCAGTCTCACCTTCTACCACCTAAATGTCCTTCATTAAACAGGCCTGACCCTAAGCAGCCGCCACCAAATCCTTCTTCCCCTGGCCCTAGCACAGGGGCAATGAGGCTCTTATCTTAGTATGAGGACATGCGTGTCATCTGCTGACCTGGATGCAGTCACAGGACCAGAGGCTAACTACAGAAACAGCCTCTCAAATTAAAAGATAAAAAGATGCTATCCTGCTCGAATTCAGCAGGCCAGAGCCCAGCTTCAAGTCCTGGTGGCCACCCAGCCCATGGCTACTTGGCACACCAGGCTGGGATTTCCACACAAGGCCTTTCCAGGGCTCCACCCGACATGTTCCCTGGAATTTGGGGGCTCCAAGTCCTCGCCTGTCCATGTGCACCACAGTGTCACCCTTCAGCACTCCACTGAGGGTCATGGTCCCTCTGAAGCCCCTCCCAATCCCCCACAGAACAACAAGAAAGCAGGGGCTCCTAGTATCTATATCCCTTGCTCTATCATTTGGTGTGGACAGAGCACAATCACATTCTCCAAAGCTGTATAGACTACTACCATTTCCCTTTTAAGACAAGAAAAATGGAAAACAGAAAAGCAGGGAAAAAATTTGCTTATATTTTTTAAGAAACTCAGAATTTTAGATATGGGTTAGATATACTTTCCAAAAAACATAAAAAGTAATGTTGTTTCTCATAAATATATTTCCTTTAAGATATTTTCTTTATTCACATTTTAAAATCACTACATAATCAAGCTGTTAAAAGCTCTACATTCTTCAGGTAATCACAACCTGGGCTAAGGTGAACTAATCAAATCAATCATTGTTCTTGGATAAACAAGAAACAAACTAAGCTGCAGATTAAAAGAAATGAACTCTCAACACTTTCCAACAGATTCCACTTGATACAGATGAGGAGGAAGAACTCTGGCACAGGAAAGTGACACGAGATTTGAGAAGGTGACAGATAAAAGGGAAACAGGCCTCAGAGAAAAAGAAACAGTACCCAGCACCAACCTTGTTGCTGCCCAGACTGTGTGGAGGGATGAGATCTTGCCGGCTTCCGGACAGCTGAGGAGAAAAACAGCATCAGTCCCCAGGGGCAGGAGCCTGACACAGTGTGTGGTGGGGGGGAGCATGGGGAGAGGCACGAGAACCCTGGGGAGCACTGGGAACTGTGAAGGCCTAGCCTACAGACTCTAGGACACAATGAGCACTGAGGTTTAGAGCAGATCTGGGCATCAGCTTTCAGGGAGACAATAGCTGACCTTGAGGAGGTGGCTGTCTCTCTGTGAACCCCTTTTATTGACAGGATACTAGTCCCTGGGTTCTGACCATGGCAGGAGCCTTCCTCTAGGTATTGAGAACACATGCAAACCCACAAACTAGTTTAATTTTTTTTTTAAATGTATTTTAGTACAGGTTCTATAGGGTCTCACTACACAGATCAGACTCGTAGTGATCCTCCTGTATTCAGCCTGGCAAGTGTTGGGATTACAGGCACGCACCACCACATCCAGTCTCAGCTGCCATCTCAGCGTGCTCCAGGGGTGGGGCCTGCACGGCACATGGGGGATCGAAACCCACTCCCTGTGCCACAAACTATTTTAAATGATAGGATCCCAAATGCCAAATCTCTGCACATCCCAGTGTATTTTAATACATCATTTCCCAAGGGGATGGGAAGATACTGACTGCGAGTGTAAGTGGCATTTCTACACACCTCAGAGTGGCTCGTTTTCTGGTGTGAGGTCATGAATGCTGGCCCTTGGGTTCTCCAGTGCAGAGCCCTCCCTGTGGCCCTCTCATACACTGTGGGCACAGGACAGCCGCTCTTTCCCACACACTTGTATTGTATCTTTTCCTATTGTGCAGCTAGGACAAAACTACATTTTCTCATATACACATCTTTATCAAAAGTGAGGAAAAGAGAAAGTTACTTTGTGAAGAACTGTTTCCATGCTTAATATGCACATAAATTATAAATTATGTTTTTGAAAAAAAATCAAGCCTATTTTGATGCCCTAGAATGTCCATTCATCCCACCACCCTAATGGCCAGTACAGGACCCGTCTGTACACTGCTGATAACTGAGGTGTCTCCTCAACTTTAACACAACTCATCTCGGTCCAGAGAATGAACTCGCTGGTGTGGCTTCCACAAACCCTGGTGACACCACTGTCTGTGCTGAGCCTCGGGACAAGAAAACGGAGGTGTACGGCTCCCCCACTAGGTGGCAGGCATGGCGGCAGGTGGGTATGTGGGGCCAGGGCTCCAAAGTGGATGCCAGGAGAAAGTGATTCTGGCCACGTGACTCGCATGCAGGGTGGAGGAGAGAAGAGGTCCTGGGCACACTGCTACTTACTCTGTTCACATTGGGGGAGCTGACACTCCTCCTGTTCGGCTTCCCCTTGCCTGTCAGCTGCTCCTTCACGGCCACTTCCTGAGGATCAGGGAAAGCACACATGAGAGATGTGTCCCAGACAGCGTTCTCTAAAGATCGGGTCACAGGACAACATGATCCGATTTCAATCAATCACCCCAAACTACTCAGAATCAACCAAAATGAAATCTTCAGGCATCAGCCACAACAACCCGTGTGGCAGAGTCACCACTTATGTCCTGCGGTGCCACAGACCGCACTGACCTGGCGAAGGCGGTCCAGTGTCAGAAGGTTCTCCACGGCCAGCACGCTCCTGAGGTACTTCTCAATGTGTGCCTCTGAGTCAGCAGAAGCCGGGTTGTCCACATTAGCTGCCATCCTAGCTAGTGCTTCACGTTCCTCCACACCTTGGGCATCCTGAAGGGCAAATGCCATGTTCACATTAGGTACCCTGAAGGGGAAAATGCTAAAAAAGCTTCCTCATACACAGTTCCAAATTGACAAAGAAGTTAGATCCCAAAATTCCATGTTGACATCAGCTTTTGGAACTCAAAATGCTATTTTTTTCATAGAAATCAGGAAACCATGATTAAGGTAATCAGCTAACAATGAGGCTGTTCAAACTGAGGGTAAACAGCACATTCTTAGCTAACCTGATCGTTACTCAACTTTCATGGTAAAAAACAATATACAAAATTACTGCTCAGAAAAGATGTTGTAGGTGAACCAGAAAAGAACCACCCAATACCAGAACCTCAGGATGGGGCCACCTGAAAGTCCTGGGAGCCAGCAAGGGAAGGGGAGCTGCACTGCTGGGTAGACAGAAGTGAACCCATCAACCCTCACAGGAAGCAGACACACAGCAGAGATGGGAAGGGAAACAGCGTGCTGATCAGCGCTCAAGTCCCATAATCAGGACTGCAGGGCCTCCGTTCTCAACCAGGAACAGCGGTGGCCAAAGTGGGAGAGAGAAGAATTCAGGCACATCCACACTCACAAGCACTCAGGTAGCATCCTCCCTCCTCCTCCAAAAGAGCTGGTCACGAATGTAAATGCAAAACTCCTGGGCAGAGAGGACTTTATTAATGTACTTAATTATTTCAGGTAAAATGGCTTCAGAACAAATTACTCCTTGGAGAAAAGCAGATCCTTTATTTACTTTTCACATGATAATGTCAAAAAGTATAAAATGTACATCCGTATGCCGCTGCATCTTAAATGCCAACTGAAAAACAAATATTTTATATACAATGAACAAAAGAGACTGCCAATTAATTTTAAGATGCCATAGGACATTCTAACTTCAAATATCTATTTTTAAATGTAAATAAGCCTCAGAAGAGATAAAATGAGGAGGGGGAGAGTTAGAAGATGGCTTAAATTCCCAAAAAGGTTTGTCTCCCTTGGGGCACTGTGTTAACCAAGACCAGAAGAAATCCAAGTTGACAGGAGAGAGCCATTTACTAGCAGAGGAGAGCAGAGTAAAGCTCTCCGGATCCTGGAGCAGTGCCCCACCAGCTCCCAGCATGGCATCCCCTCCATGTCCCAGCCAACTGACCCCATCCTGCTTCTGGGAGCAGAAAGGCAGAAACTGTGTCTGGGACCACTTCTTTCTCCTGGCTTCAGGAAAATGGAACATAAGGAATGTTCAAGGGCTCGCTTATTAAGGGTTTTCTTCACTCATTTTTCAGTCTAGTCTTTAGACAATAAGCTTTGAGTACCATTTTTCTTTTCATCATCAAGTCTGATAATAAGAAAACAAAGCTTGACAATTTTTATCTTGGCCCAAGCGCACGAGGGTATGTTTACCCTTCAGCTGACTGCCCCACATTTCTTCCCTTTGGTGATTGTATCACCTGACAAAAAAAGCATTTTAGAGGATTAAAAATCTACAGGAGGAGGGAAGAAGAGGGGATGGAGATAGAGAAAAGGAAAAGAGGAAGAGAGTTCACTAAGTCTGTCATTCTCAGTTTAGGTCAGGCCTTTTATGGATTTAAGATGACAACTGGAAAACAGAAAACATTGAAACTGAGAGACTAGACAGTCTCCAGCTAACCATATGCACATACTGACATTAAGCCACAATGAATGGAGCACACAATTATTACAGACCTAAGGTTTTCAGTTTGTCAACTCTACAAATAGCTCAATTTTTAAATGTTTAGGAGGCTCCAAATTAAAGTTAAATAGTTAATGTTTATTATGGAAGTCAACTGAAAATTCAGGGAAAAATGAGTTACTATTTAACCCTACTGGAAAGAAAGCAGTGTCTCACAACATAAGAAATTTACAACTAAACCTGTGTGGTTTACCTACTTTCTTTTCAAAACCTCGCCCCTGTATTAACACACAAAACTGTCCATTAGTGCTCGCTGGACAGTCAACAAATCCAAAGGCCTGGAATGAGGGCTGTGTGCAGGGCTGATGTGTGTGGGCAGGTCTCTGTGACCTCTCCCAGTGGAAAGGCAAGTTCTTTACTGAAACAGTGGAAGCCAGCATTCAGGCCACAAGTACACTGCGCTATGAGTTAAGATCAGGAAATTCACAAAAACAATCAATAGCATTTCCTTAAGTACACATTTTCATTTAAAATATATTTCTTGGGTAGGTAATTTTCAGGGAGCTAGCTCTTTTTAAGTGCTTATTTTTAGTGCATTCAAATCACATACGATCCTTCACCTCTGGAATATTGGAGACGATTTCAAAGGTCACTCCACAGCCAGGAATAGAGCTTCTATGAGACATCTTTTTTAGGAGACTTTGAGCAAAACCCTAGAGAAAAACAAAATGGAACATACAATTTTTCACCTCTCAAACAGAGTTTCCATTAACAGACAGAATAAAGCATACTGCGTTCGTGCTAACCAAGTGACAACTGTATATTTCCAATACAAGCAAGTAAAACCTGTGTCACCACACACAGTGTCCTCAGCTTTCTCTTAGTGCACAGAACCAATTGATCAGATGCTACCACGTGTAAGCGACAAGTCCTGTCCCCAGCCCACAGAAAGTACAGATCCTAAGCCTGAAACCTGGTGCCAGGCATCTGAATAAACACTCTGCTTCCATGCTACCAAAAAAAAAAAAAAAAAAAAAACGACCTTCTAACTCAGATGGACATGAGGACTGGTGACAGCACACTGTGCTGTCCGTGTCCCCCCCCCCCTCCCCGCACAATGGACATCTTATACCATGAATATTGACAAGTTCAGGCATTAAATTCTTGACCAAAGCAGGATCGTTACGAAGGATGATTTAAGAGTGCCTGGTCATTGTTTATGCTGACTGTGCTCTTTACACAGTTACGAACTGAACTGTTGAATTAATGCACAGATGACTCATTTGGAGATGCTGCTAAGATTGAACATCCAGTAGAGGCTGAAGAAAGCGGCGATGGGGGTGGAATGCAACTGGTGAATAAAGATAAGGAAGACACAGAAGAGAAAAGGGCCTTGAACCTTTCTCCCCATGCAAAAGGGAAAGCAGAAGCACGCAGAAACTCTTCAAGGAAACAGAACAATCAGTTCCTTTGATGGCAAAAAGACATTATTTCACAAGTCTACATAATAATTTGTTTCCCTTTCAATTATATCTAGTTAGTTTTTTAAAAGAGCTCCTGAGAATGTAAAAGACAGTAGTTATTTTATTTCATCCCTTCCCTGCCCTGACTCTGGCCTTGTGCTAAGCCAGGCTCAGGGACCCCAGTCAGGGTGGAGCTACAACAAACTTATGGGTGGTGGAGGGCCGTGTACACTGCTATCTTGCTATTCATTATCTGTTTGCATGGAGTTAGTTAGGGAGGCTGCCTTGCATGTAGTAGGGCACTGTGGAAATCCTTGTTCTTACTATAAAGCAGCAATTTTTTAAGAATGAAATATCTGAGATGAGAGGAAAGATGGCAGACTTTAATTTTTTTAAAAGCACTTCAACCATGATGAAATGTGGCAACTTGTTGTCCCTATGATTAAAATAAATCAACACTGAGAATGTGGTCACTCCACACTGCATCCCTCTGTGGAGGACGGTGCGGGGCTGGCGGCTGTGCCAGACAGGGCTCAGGGTCTGGCAGCCAGGATGGCTGATTCAGAAACGGAAATCCTTTCTTCAAGATGCTCCAAGAGCAGTGTGTCCCTTTCAGTCCCTTCAGACTTACGAGAACGGGGAGACAGCAAGAATGAAAGGAAGTCACTTCGTATACATCTATACCTAAGCCTACGACCTGGGTTTGTGGATGTTGGACGAGGAAGCTAAAGCGCTGTGATTTTAACAGCATTACCACCAGTCTTTCGTTCCAAGATTGACATTAGTGTGACATTTAGAACTAAAGATTAGTTTTTAGGGGTGGAGATTACATCTAGGGGTCTGTCAACCATGACTGTGCTCTTTTAAATGAAAAGATTTATTTTTCTCTGTCCTGGCTATGGTATTAAGAATGCCTCATGAAAGGGAGAAAGACAGTTAACTAGGATCCCCAGAATCAACTTCCAAATCCTTATGCTGACAAAACCAGAAAGTGGAAATTTACATTCTTGCCTACATACTGCCTATCAAACCCTTTTGCACGGCACATGGGCCTTCATAATCCAATAAATACATGAAGGGCTTTGTTCCTGAGTATCTGCCGTGTACCCCGCCCATCCTCCTCCCTCCTCAGCATGTGCAATTCTCCCTCTCTGTGACACAGCTCCCACCTCTTGACCTGTCCAGCACCCTGTCTGTACAGCATACAGATGGCATACAGTAGACTGCCACTGTCCACTCTGAGCACTTTATCCTTCCATAAAGTCCCCATGTGAGCCCTCTGTGGGTACAAATGGACTCTGGCTCTCTAAGGACCAGACTGCTTCCTTTGTCTTTTTATTCCAAAGCCAAGTAGATGAACCAAAGACTATGAGGACTGAAGGCTCTGGAAAGAGAAGAGTAAGCACAAACTGCTGAAGATCTGGAAAAAAGGCAACAACCACACTGGCGATTTTGCCCTGGACAGGGCTGTGAGGCACCCGAAAGAATGGCTGCAATGTGTGAACCTTTTAGGGGATTCAGTGTATCAACTCAGTACTGTCTAGGAGGAAGTCAGGATGACACATTCGGTGACATCACAGTGACAGTCACTGGAAAGCGAAGCTCAGAGCTCCCAGCCTATTTGACCAGAAGTAGGACCCATAGGTAAAGTCATGGCCTAAGCGAGGACCCCACCCTCACCTGGCGGCTGTGAACATGGACGCAGATCCTTTTTCGTAAGACCAGCTGCATGTCAGCAGGGTGGCTGAGCTGCACCGTCACACGCACAATCAGGAACACACGTTCATCTGCCGGCGTGCCTTTACTGAGCTGTGGGCAGCTGTGCACCGCGGAGTCCCAGGACGCCTCTGCCCTCGCCTGCAGATGAGATAAGGGCAAGCTTTGCCCTGCTCTCCCAACACCAAAGCCCCACCAGAGAGCCACCTCGGGAAGGGCTGGGGCACTCCTACCAGCCCAGGGCCTGTAGAGGCGGCATCTGAGGCACGCAAGCATGGGGCCCCAACCACCTCAGTCTGTACAGCACTCTCCTGGCTGTCCCACGTGCTCTCACTCCGTAATAAATGTTCAAATATCAAAGAAAGCTGCAAAAATTCAGTGCAGCACACTCTAATGTACTTTGCATCAAAACCACTAAATAGGGGCTGGGAAGATGGCTCGGTAGAATAAGCGCTTGCCTGGCAAGCGCAAGGGCCTGAGTTCAATCCCCAGTTCCACCAAAAAAAAACCCCTACTCACTGGCAAGTTGTGCTACTTTTACATCTCTTTGTCTACACACACACACACATGCACACATACACATACATTTTTTTTTTTTTTTTTTGCTGAACTATGTCTGAGTAAGCTAACAAGATAACCATCATCTTTACGGCATTTAACATCAATCCAATGCTATTTTTATTATAGAGTCCACATTCAAATCTCTTTATTTTCCCAGCCCAGGATTCCAGCCCTGCATCTAGCTATCATGTCCCTTTGACCTGAAATGCTTGTGCAGCCTTTCTGGTCACATGTGGGAATCGGGTCACCCCATACTGTGCCCTTTCTAGGAGGTGCAGGGCTGGTGGCAGTATGGCCCTATGGTAGATTCAAGTTCTGCACCCTCAGAAGACCACACAGTGATGGCATGCCATTGCAAGTCAGCTTTCCCTCCTCAAACACCTTGTCATGTCACTTTCCAAGCACACTCAAATCAAAGGAATAAATGTTCTGGATTTACCCATCACATAGATTCATCCATTACAGACATGGCATGGCCACTTGCCCACTTCATGATTCTTCTCCTTTTTAGGAAGTCCTTACAAAATAATTTCAAAGCAAATCTCAGACATGGTGCCATCAACACTCCCTGCCCTTCCATGGTGTCTCTTTCCACCTCTCAGAACTGAGAACAAGCAGAGCTCCTGAGCACACTGGCTTGCAGCAGCCACACTGACTTAGAGCCTCCACCAGGAGGGGAGGGGAGGTCAGGGGAGGGGAAGGGAGGACAGAAGGAGAGGGGAGGGGAGGGGAGGGCAGGAGAGGGCAGGGGAATGGGCAGAATGTGACATTCGGGCTCCACTCTTTCTGGAAGTCACAATGAAAGCTTTTCGTGTATATGTATCAAGAAATGTTAGCACCAGAATGACTATCCTGCTGATCACTTCCAAGGGCTTCTGGAGAGGTCAAAACAACTTCCTGTTGTTGGACCCTTACAAGTTCTGCTTGACTTACTTCCCCATCATGATGCTTCACAACTTGCAGCTCAAAGAACTCTTCTTCCTCTTCCCCAGTCAGGGTAGCATCCCACCCACCAGCCTCGGGGTCATCAAGGTTGTCCTGAGAGCTGAAATCATCAGCTGAGAACAAAGAGATTTCATTACATACAGAGATCGTTTCCCAGGATAACTCCTACCAGCTAAATTTCAATGTGCATATTATCAAAATTCTTATACATCGACTTTCATGTGCTTTTGCTCTGCAGTCTCACATGATACTGATGATGACTATTTAACAGTTCACAGAGCTTAAGAGACAGAAAGTGGCTCAAGAAATCATCATAGCCAAGCTGCTCCCTTTATGCTTTATTCTACGTGGAAGGCAAATGAAGCCAAGATACCTAAGTGGTTACCCGAGGTCTGCTCATAAATGTTAATGATGGGATTGCAATCCTAGTTCCCACCTTTTAGTACACTGAAGAAAAAAGAAATAAGTGAGAGTGATTTCAGTTACCTGACTGTTAAATTCATCAAAAAGACTGATGGGGCCACATGAGCCAGAAACTGGCAGCCCTAGCTAGAAACTGCACTGTCGCCCTGTGGTTATTTGCTCCCAAGCCTAGCCCACCCACCTTCCAATTGTCTTAAGCTTGGCGTCAAATGTAAGTGGGCATGGCTGAACCAGGAATGTATGGAGTGCCCAACAGACTCCTAATCCTCTCTTCAAATACCCAGGTCTTCCTTGGGCTTACTTGGACCACTTTTTATGTGCCACCCCCTTGCCTTACCTATCTAGGAAAGAACAAGCCAGAGTCACATCTGTCTCCAAGAAAGAAGGACAGAGTCCTGCAACACTGCCTAAAAAGCAAACCCTCCCAGCCTGTAGACAGAGCGTGGGAAAGGCCGCATGTTATTCTCCAACTGTGCACACACATCATGAGCTCCGTGGTGTGTGACCTTAACACCCTTGGCATCACAACTCAATTTCCACTCAGTGGAAGAGGCCACTGAGAACATCCACGCTTATCTATTTAGGGGCATTCATTCTAACACTCAGTCCCCCTGCAGACAGAGTAGGAACTTCACTGCTGACACTCAACTTACTTTTAAATCCATAACCTTTCTGGTGTGCTTCTGGGCTCTGTGTAGTTTAACTTTCTCTTCATTTTCTCTTTTCCCATATAAGCCAGAATCATGGTATGTATGTGTATAAAACAAGTTGTTTTCCCCAAAACAGGCAGTACAGGGATGAATGCACAAGAACTCACAGTAAGTTAAACAGTAAGTTAAATAGTGAATTAAATAATGCTATGAAATGTGACACAGAGTTACTGCCAGGCATCAGACCTTTCCAGGGCAAGGTCTTCCCCGAGAATTAAATAGGAAAATATTTTTAGTGTAGAAAACACACAGCCTGGAGGCCACAGCAACAAGACAGGGAACACAGCCATGATGCTGTAAACGATGACTTCCAAACTACCTGGTCTCTATGCATATGAGCACTCACAAGGTGACTGTCACCTCAAGCTGACAGAGCATCCAGTGACACACCTGGTCACCATCTAAGTACCACCAGACACTGATCCATCAGGTGACCCTTTGAAACTCCTTGAACTCACCGTTTAAGTCTAGGAATATAACAGGAATGTGGGTTTCCATCCCAGGCACCGGGGTCCTGAAACAGGAAGGAGAGGCGGCACCTCACACACAGCAGACTCTCTGTAGCCAGACACAGGGACACAGCCCAGGACCCTCAGGCTGCTACAGGTCAGGGCACAGTTTTCCAATGACTTAATAGGAGAGATGCCCTGAGACTGCACCATAACTGCTGCCCCTATGGCCCAACACACCAACCTAGACTCAGAGCACCCACTTACTGTTTAGAGGGAACATCTGCCCCAACTTGCTTCTCGGAAAATGGTGTGCTTCTGGGCTCTGTGTAGTTTAACTTACTGTTCTGAATTTCTGCGAAGTGGCACAGAACATTTTCTGACAGAAAAATTTAAGCCAGCACTAGAACCAAAAACTGGTGGGATGCAACATCTCTTGCAACCAAGCATTCTGGTACAGAAATGAATGGTCACACTAATTACTATGCCATTTTTAATACCAAATGCAGTGGTGCTAAATATTGATTTCAGTTCTCAGAAAGTGTAATTACGTTGGCCAATAAAAATGTTATTTAATAAAACAGTTTTAGATCATAGTCATTCAAATCATGAAGATAATTTAACAATTCCTTAAGTTCAAACAACCCTGTCCTCACATGTTACCCTGAGTCTTCCACTAAATGCAGCACTCAAAACCTCAAGTGGAAAGCAGAGGCCCAAGAACATTCTGCCTGAGCTGTGCATCCTACCATTCTGCTGGGGCGCCAGGGATGCCGCTGCCTGCAGAGGGGACCATCCCTGCATTCCTCTCCTCAGTCAGGGTCAGCCGCATCTCCAGGAGCTGTGCCTCCCGGTCAGCATCATCCTCCGATTTATCTGGAATATCAGGAGTACATGTGAGACCTGGGAGCCCCACCAACCCTGTAAGGATGAGATCTGCAATGTCTTGCCTCCTGGCTGGTGATATAGCCAGTGGCTGGTGACCCAGCCAGCAGCAAGAAAGGACTGGTGCTAAGGCAGTATGCAGGCCATCTGGCCAGAGTCACAGCATTCACATCCCTCAGACAAGCCATGTTGGCACCTTCCTCAGGTATCTTGAAGGGCAACAATGACCTTACCTGCCATGCTCTTTCTTTGCTAGGAGGAGAAGGCTACACTAAAATATTATCCTGATGGTAAATTTTCGCTTGAAAGGCCTGCCATACCCACTGCTGACATATCTCTTTACGTAAATGGCCCCAGATAGGATCAGTTGTTCGCTGACTTGGGGAAGAGGGAGGTGTGCAACTTGCTCTTCCTACCAGGTTTGCTGACAAGCTTCTGCAGCTGCTGATCCAAGTATTCCTGACGTTTTGTTAACACATTTAGCCATTTTCTACGTAGTCTCTCTAAATCCCGATCCTAGTAGAAAATAAGGGGAACCACATTCAATATAATGTCAAGACGGTACATCTGAAACTAATGCTCTATCTTATTTTCTTCTAACATGATTAAAAACCTAAGTTTTGGGCCAGCAAGATAACTCAGCAGACTAAGCGCCTGCTTAGGCAAATGCAGGGACCAGGGTTCAATCCTCAGCACTACATCTCATGCTGGCCCTGCCTCTGGGCATGCTGAGCCAGTGACTGAGTCGGACTGAGACCAGGCGTGGTGGCGCACACCTGTTATCCCAACACTGGGGAGGCTGAAAACAGGAGGATCACTACAAGTCTGAGCTGCATAGTGAGACCTTGTATCAAACACATAAACAAATAATAAAAATAAAATAAAAAATAAGAACTTAAGCATCATACAATCATTTCCTTGCCAGCACTGCCTGATGACTCTACTATAACTCAGAACAGAAACACTAAGAAGGTAAGCATCCCTTTCCAGAGTGGCAGTGGTTTTCAAATTCTCGGGTACTCAGCCACTCGTAATGGCTCATGGGTAGAACTCCAAGTGCTCACAATGAAGACCTTCTACGCACTCTCTTTGATGAATGGAGCTCACAAAGCACACTCAACAGTCTTCTGATCTCTATACCTCTAGGATAGAACCACTAGAAGTATCCTTCAAAGCTTTGAACTACTGCCTATGTGATCCATGATGCTCCTGACAACATGTCAATACCTCTCTCCCTTGTTCTTTGTGCATTTTGGGGGGCTGGGGATGAGAGCGAGAGGATGGGTTATTATCCACAGACTAACAACTCCACCAGTCAACACCTGCGAACAGGCCAATCTTACCTCATTTCCTTTTGTAATGAGGTTATGAGACTGGGTAGGTCAGCGGAATGTTGCAGATGTCGAGTGTCTGGAATTCACTAGGGCACTTAACTAAATAGCCTATGACATTCTCGTGGACAAGATGGAGGAATGTGTAATGCATCTACTTGGGTGAAATCACAGAGGACTCAAATACAACATTCAGAGAGCAGTGATTAATGGAACAATGTCAGCTTGAAAGAAGTCTCTCTTGTTTTACCATCCGACTCTGCATTTAACCCCCTCTGATACAATGTCTTTATCAGTGACTTATAGGAAGGCAGACATTTCTATCAAATTACAATGATGCAAAACCAGGAAAGTGACTACACCAGATGACATAATGAGGCTCCAAAGAGCTTAAACAGTCCTAAATGATGACTAACAAGATGAAACTTCAAAGACATAAACGAAACCTGGCAGATTAGGAAAAGAAAGGAAAAAATTTAAACCCATAAAAACCCTGAGAAACTCCAGAAAAAGGAGCATTTGGAGCTGATTCATATATGAAAAGCACCTAGGGTTTGACACATGCTCAGGGTGAGGCAGTTGAGCCCAGGGCTGGAGGTGCAGCACCATCAAGGATGAGCAGTTGGGCAGACAGCTCTCTGAGGTGCCTGGGTGGAAAGGACAGTATCATGGGGATGTACTACCCCAGTACACCTGTCTTCCTGCATGGGAAACAATACTCACTGTTCTCTCTTCTGTTTTACTTAAAAAAAAAAAAAAAAAGCACTATCTGAATTGAAATTGCTTAATTATTAAGTAACAGTATAGCAAGATCCTGGAATGTGCAATTATGTACTTTAATCAAGCTGATTTGATGAGACTAATAGGTGTTCAATTACCTGGTAGCTGTCCATGTCCTCTTCTTCCTCCTAAAGGAAAGATTACAACATGTAGAGCCAAAATAATTATTTACCCAATAATCGGGCCATGCTATATGATCTGAATCCTTCCTCCAATGTTTATATGCTTAATTTAATTAAGATACTAAGTTCCCTCCCACTCTCTCACCCGTAGGCCTGAGATTTCCAGTCCTCAGGAAGTTGAATAAAACCTTGAGCTTCTCAGAGTAAAGTGAAGAGCACTGTCTGACCTTTTCTGAAGCCAGTACAATGCCCTCCCTGCTGGGCATACAGTCCCACTCACCAGGGGAAATCAGACACCTGCTGGCAAACAGTCTTTAGAAGCCAGTGGGGGGTTTCTGCTCGGGCTGGGTGATGTTGGGAAGTAATCACTCTTAGGCACTGAGGAGTCTGTGGAGGCTGAGCAGATTTAACCATCTGCTTGCCACATGCAGAGCACAGCCAGTAACAGTTTGGCATAATGACTCCACACAAATATACTGTACTATGAATGACATCCAAAACAAATGCAGAAATACTGAAAGAACCGTTCAGAGAAAGCAGTGTTCTGACAGCTTCCAAAGGACTCTCTGGGTTGGCTTTGTTTTTCAGCAAGCATGGAAGAGCCATAGAGACTTACATGGAAGGTCTCATGTGTCTTGGGGGATCTGAGGGGCCTCACTTTCACACAGCCAATGCCAACAGACACGATGCATTCTTCAATTAGCGGCAAAGTCCCGGATTCCTGCACAGACTTCACATCAACTTGAACTCGCCGGGACTGCCCCTGCACCAAGAGTCTTAAAATCACTTTCTTGATTTCTAAAAGTCTGGTTTAGAGAGACCTCTACAGGTTCAAGTTGAGAAAAACACTTAACTCTGGCGACATCTTACTGCATCTTATAAATGTTAAGTACTAAAATACAAATTCAAAAGTGGTCAGGAAAACTAGTCATTTCCCTTTTAAGCAAACAGAAAGCCATAGGATAAATAATAATATTTCTTTAATAGAAAGAAATATTAAAAGAAAACATTCTAACATAGGAAATTCAAACAGCTGTGTAATAAAAAGTTCAATTTACTGAAAATCAAATACAAATTAAACTAAGCATAATATGTCTTTATTTTCATTTCCTAATCTAGCAATTATATTTGAAAAGTGAAATTTCCAATACTGCCCAAGTGTTACAAAACAGGCAATTTCATACACTATGGAGCAGGAATTTAAATTGGTGTAATCTCTCTGTAGAGAAATATGATTTAAACATGTAAGTTTCCTTTGTCCCAGCAATTTCACTTCCTAGTGATATATTCTATTTACAAGTAAATAAAACATATGCGTGTAAAGAATCTAAAAGTACTGTGAAAAACAAAAATTAGATACAAATTAAATGTTTAATATTGATAAACATTTAAATAAGCTGACATATATCAAAAAACACTAGGCAGTTATTAAAAAATCATTCTGTAGAAAAACATATATAACGTATTAAGTTAAAGAGCAGATCACCACCAGTGTAGTGTGATCTACTTTTAAAAGGTATGCAATCCAAATTAGAAAGCAGGCTAATGTTACTTTGGATTAAAAATAATTTTAAACTAAACTGCAAAATGAACTGACCACAGAGAAGCTATTTCTACTTGAGCATGTATTCAGAATAGATCCTGCCTGTGTGACTCCCTATGTACAACAAAGGAAAATTAGAAATAAGAATCCCCAAGGCGGCGACCTGGCGCGGTGGTCTGGACGCCGGGCTGTGGAGCGCGAGGTCGCCGGTTCGCGCCCCCGTCCCGACTCTTTCTCTTTGGGCTGGTGAGATGGCTCAGTGGTCTAAAGCACCTACTTAGAACAAGCTTAGCAAAGCACAGGGACCGTGGTTCAATCCCCAGCACCACATGCCAGCCAGCCCCGCCCCATGGTGGGCTGAGCTGGCCACACACATAAAATAAATGAATAAATAATAATAATAATAAAAATTTTTAAAAAAAGAATCCCCAGTATTCCCAAATTACTGGCCTCAAATTTGATTTTTAAATTTTAGGAAGAGAAAATAGCATTTGAACACTACAATTTTAATATTCAATTTCCAGTCAGTTACCCTTGCCTTTTTCCAGTGGTCTCATCTCCCAAGAGCCCAGCATGATCAGGAAAATCTACTTAGGTGCTCACTGATCCTATCAAGCTGCATTTCAATGGATGGGATACAGATGTCTTTTTATTTAATCTTTTCCAAGGACTACGCACCAATGACTTTGTGAAAAAAATCCCTCAGAAAATATTTTAATGGTCTAAAAACATTATTTCAGTTAGCTACCTTTTCTTTATTTTGCTTAATCCAGAAAGTGACTCACTGTGAAGGTGTGAAGGGCACAGCTGCACAGGGAGGTAAGATCTGGGGTGTGGAGAGCAACGAAAAGAAAAGTGAGGCTTGGGCATGGATTTCCATTCACTGAAAAGCTTTGAAATGTCTACGTCAACTACTGCAAGGAACTTCTTGTGACTGCCAATATCTTACCATTTGCTGCCTACCAAAATTCCACATGATTATGCCTAATAACTGCCCTCTGCCACTTTCATGTTCAAAAATATAATGCCCCAATGTTCAAGCACTAGACTCAGGTCACTCCAGTGTTCGAGGGCCTCTCAACTCACTGCCACAAGCTTCCAGGACAGTGTTTTTCTGCTTCCCAGCTCCTTCTACACATAGCTGTATTCCCCGAGGGGTCCAATTCCAGGCGCAGAGTCTTTATCCTTGCTATCTGTATAGGAAAAACCTTATAGACCTTGCATGTTTTTTCCCAGCATCCTAATAATAGATACACATTCTTCAAAAAAAGCTACTACTGATAGAACCAAGAACTTAATGTAACAAATGACTTAGATAGTCTAGATTTTATTGTCATCAACACATCTGTTAAGAAAGAATCCAATAGTAGATGAAGGAATAGCTCAGTGGTAGAGCCCTTGGCTAATCTGTGTGAAGCATAGGCCAAAATAAAATCCCATATTAAGCCTTTGGGTGGTGAAGATTTAATATGAACACTGGCACTCTCTTTACCTGCCGGAGTTGGAAAATGCCTCCTGTTGGGACATCCTTTGCAGGAATTACTTCGACGGGGCAGTATTCACCATTCTCATTCTGTTCCAAGATCTGAACCCAGAATTCCAACTTCCTGGTAACTTCACTCCACCTAGGAAACAGTTGTAATGTTTGGGAAATCAACCATTTTTATTTTAATACAGGCACTCCTGCATATGAAACTTAGTAATGAAAATGACCTCCAATCCCAATGCCTGTAATCCCAGTGCTGGGGAGGCTAAAAACAGTAGGATCACTACAAGTCTGAGCATTGTAGTGAGCCCCTGTGTACCAAATACAAAAATTTAAAAAAAAAAAAAAGAAAAAGAAAAAGAAAGAAAATGACCTACAAACACCGCAACTCAGGGGAATGGGCTGAAATTCAATGCACATAGTGGCAAATACAATGAAAAGCAAAGTTAAACTAAATTAATATCAAAACTAGAGATGGCTTCTCTCATTTTGTTCAGAATGATACAACAACAAATCTATTTCAAAGTGATTACTCAAGAACTGGAACATTCTAATCGGATGTACAGAATCGAGTGCAGGGATTATCTTTCTGCAGACAGAGAAAGGGAGTGTCATACATTTCAGCAACTTCACAGTTACCTTTTCTCAGGCCAGTCAGAGAATCAAGACAAAAATCTTACCTCCTAATTTAGGATTTGTTAAAACTTTCTAAACGCAGAAAAAGAAAAATGTGGTCCTCATGTATAATGAGATGAAAACAAAAACATTTTCTATTTCAATCATTCCCTTTTAAGTCAACAAACCAGCCTACCTCATTCCATCACTGACACAGCTCATAAAGAACTGTGAGCTACAGGCAGAGTGAATCTAAACACTACCAAAGACCTCCATCCACCTTTCTCCCCTCCCCTCCCCACCAGCCATAATGGGGATTCACCCAGGGCCTTCACACTGAGCCCTTCATTTTTATTTCTGTCTCTGAGACAGTGTCTTGCTAAATTAAACAGGCTTGGCTCAAATTTACAGAGCATCCTGCTTCAGCTTCCCAGAGCACTGGGATCACAGGTACGTACCCCAATGCCCAGTCTGTTTCTTACTCAATAGTTATGCATTTCACCTCCAACACTTCCAAAGTTCACTCTATTAAGGAAGTTTAACTATGATATTAATACGCTGGAGACCACATCTATTCCTGGGACCTGATATTGCTTAGGAAATAGTAACCTTTACTTAAAAATGACAGTAAGAATCTGCATCCTTTTTTTTTTTTAAATTGCAAACATAATCCAACGAGTATCTAAAACTCACCTGTCCCGAAGACTCCGTGTTTTTGCTTGGATGATTCCCAAATCCCACAGGGCTGGATTTTTCCGAGGATCATTCATCTTATGTCCATAAACTTCAATTGCCAAGGCCCCTTCCGAAAGGTGCTCAATGAAGTCTTCAGTGATGTTAACAGAAAACTCCTGAAAATGTAACACGTAATTACAAAATAGTAAACACTTTCTGGTAATAGTATGATTACTTACACCAGACATTATGTGCTTAATCCTATCACAGAGCAAAGAATAAAGAACAGAATATTTGTGTTATATGACAGAGCTACCATCCAAAAGCCATAAGGAATGCTCATGGTCTAAGGTTCTTTCCTTTAAAGACAAAAGAGTGGCTCAGTTCATGAACTTCTTTCCATGATTCTGATTGCAAACCCTTCCCCGTAAGATCAACCCTGACTCTAGTCATTGAATTTAATTTAGTTCTTGTCCAATTTGATTTGTGATCAAAATTGTAGAAAGAATTTAGGTCATGAACCAAGGTACCTCTGTAAACCTACCAACTTTAAACTTTTCATTTTGAAAGTGTAGTATTTAAGATAAACAATGCAGTCTAATTTGTTGGCAACATTTTGGGAGTTTTTTTGTTTTTTTTGTTTACTGGAAATCAAACTGAGGACCAAGGGCCAGCCAAATAGCTCAGCGGACTAAAGCACCTGCTTAGGCAGATGTAGAGGCTGGGAGATTGATCCCCGGCCCTGCTATGCTGGCCCTGCCCCTGGGGTGCCCTGAGATGGCGAATGAGACTGGACGTGGTGGCATGCACCTGTAATCCCAGCACTTGGGAGGCTGTAAACAGGAGGATCACTACAAATCCAATCTAGGCAGTGAGATCCTATAGACCCTGTACTAAATAATAATAATAATAATAATAATAAAAACCAAGAAAGAAAGAAAACTGAGGACCATGCATTTGTCAGGCAGGTGCTTGTGCCAGTGAGCCTCAGAGAGCTATTTTTAAAAGTATAACTTCATTAAGTATTACTAGAATGACATATGTCTTGAAATAAGTTACTACTGTACATGTAATAAAGCAGCAGCAGTAATATGTTGTAGAAATGATTCATTTTTAAGAAGCTAACTACTTGTCATAGTAGAAGACAATACTAGGGCAAAAAAAAATCATCTAATTTAAAAAATTTCTCCCATTTGTTTATCTTTATAAGCCAGCATTTTGCAATTAGGCTTGTTTTATTAATGAAGTCAGGGAATTTCTCATTTCTAATAGTACCTCTACCCACTCTCTCTGTCCATCTTTAATACATTATAAATATTTCTGTTTTAAACAAGTGAAACAGAAATCTTAGCAGTATAACACCAAAAAAGATTTGGCACCCTATCAGTCCAGGCTCCGCTGGTTACTAGGCCCAGGGAAAGTGACTATAACTGCTTTAAGCAACTAACCACTATGAATAGTTTCTTCAGCTGATAAAAGCACCACCATTGAATATAATGGGTAAGGGCCAATGGAAACATACACCAGCACAAATATTCAAAGAAATAAGTGTTGCTTTTTTTTAAAATTTCATTTACACAAGAGCAATTTAAACTTGGACTAGAAAACAAACTCACACTGCAGTGATCAAAGACAACCATGCAGTGGGGTTCCTTGCTGATGGGCGAGGAGGAAGAGGTGTCCACTTCCGGTGCCACAGTCACTGGCTCCTGCTGATCCCAGAAGCTGTATTTGCAGAACACAAAGTGGGACAGATGCTGAGGCAGCCCTGTGGCTTGGAGTATTTTAACCTGAAAGGAAAAGAAGGCCTTATGTTTTAATTAGAAAGTTCAAAGTACTCCTTTGCATTAGCGATAGGGCTTCCTGTCCTTACTACAGCACAAAGTGTTGGTCTACAGTGGCCATATCCCTTTCACTCCAGTGCTGTATTCCTGCATGTGAAATGGTGACCAGGACACTACTAATTAGCGAGAGGACTGATGCAGGTGACAACAACTTAATAATGAAGGTGATGTTGTAAAGCACTAAGAAGATGAGAAAATGCATTTAAATTCTAGTCTCTTAAAACATAATAAGGGGCCGGCCAAGTAGCTCAGTGGACTAAAATGCCTGCAAACAGGCGCAGGGCCAGGGGTTCAATCCTTCCATGCCGGCCCCACCCCTGGGGCGCACTGAGATGGCAATTGAGACTGGGCATGGTGGCATGGGTCTATAATCCCAGCTCTTGGGAGGCTGTAAACAGGAGGATCACTACTAGTCCAATCTAGTAGTAAGACCCTGAACATCCTGTAGACCCTTCCCTAAAATAAAATTGTTTTTAAAACCTGATAAGGGTATCATCACTTCAGAAGAATGATATTCTTGAACATCAACACCATTCAATGATAAGAATTTGGCTACCATGGCTAAGTCTTAACAAAACTGTTAAATATAATAAAAGAACTAATGCAGAGAATGTGCTAAAAAGCAACAAATACTCAGGAAAGGGAAATATTTAGTATTGTAAAGTAGAAAGGTAGGTGTAGTAGTGCCCACCTGTAAGTGTTAACACACAGGAGGCTGCAACTTCCAGGCCAGTCTGAGCCACAGTGGTATCTTTTCTCAAATAAAATACCCCATTCCACCCCCAAAAGCATAAAAAGGAATGTGGTTCTCAAGCAGAAACTATTGTATGCAACAACATTTTCTGGAGAAATTCGAAGGCATTGAGCATGTACAAGTGGAAAAGCTGGAGGGAAGCACGGACAGAACTTGTTGTGGTTTAGCTCATTCCACTGTGCCACTGCCCACGCCAAAACCGAGACCACTAAGACCTCTGAAACTGTGAGCCCAGGTAAATAATCTTTCCTCGGTTAAGTTGCAGATGTCAAGTGTCTTGTCCCAGCAACAAAGAAAGTAACTAAGACACATGTGAAGGTGGCAAAGTTTCCCATTGTCTGCACCCACATTTACTCAGCACCTTCCCTAGGCAGGCTGGGTGGTGAAGCTTTCAAAGGAAGCATGTCCTGGATTACAGGACTGGACAGTTCTGTGACAACAAAGTACAGTGCAAAACATGTGCCACATCGGACCCAAATGCCCCCCCCAGAAACATGTCTGTAACAGATTTTATACCAACTGTCATGGTTTGTATCTAGTTGTCCATTTCCCCACTCCCCACCCCCCAAAGCCTCACACAGTCACTGGGGCAGACTTCTAGTGCTGGTGATTAATTCATGATCCAATGCTGGGATTATAGGTATGGGTGCTTCACCCACCCTGGGGCAGATAGCCTGAATACAATATAAGAATGGAAGAGACTGGGGGGGGGGGCACCCCGGGCCTTCCGGATCCTGAACAGATGCAGAGCACAGGCCTGCAAAGTGAGTGAGACAGCCCGGGGCCCGCGGATCCTCATTCGACCCAGAATGCAGGCCCAGTGCAGAACCCTTCAGCAGAACTCCCTGCAAAGAGGCTGGAGGCAAGGCCCACCCAGCTGATTCAGGAGCAGAACATCTTGCCAGAGAGACACAAAGGGTTC